TCATACTCCTGCCGTCATAAGGTCCTCACCACCCTTGCTCTTCACTACCTCTCCTTTAGGTTGTATCATTTCAACTATAGCCTTCCCTAAGCCAATCATGCTCCCTCTTAGCTTCCTGTCAGCTTGTGCCACCACTGGGAAAGATTTTCGCAGTACAAAATATCCCTTGCCACAAGGATTCCACTCATAAATCTCTGGTCCTCCTGTAGGCTTATTCTTAAACCTAACGAGTTCTCCATCCACTCCTGGGTAAGTCTCATGTCTGAAATCCCAAAACTCCGCATCCTCTTTGATGAACTTTTCCAACTCCTTCTCATCTAGATCCGGCTCTGCGAGCTCAGGATGGTCAGGTTCGGTAAGTCTAAGCTTCATCCACCTAAACTTTCCTTCCCAATATTCATCCCTCGCTTTTCCCTTCAGGTCCCATGGTCGTGGAAGCCCAAATTTCCTCTTAACTTTCGACCCATCTACTACATCTACTTCCTTTTCGTACTCTTCCTCCTCCGCCTTAAGCGGCACCACTCTGACGATTGCATCTTTGTTCTTACGATGATGGTACAATTTAATTCTTTTCCATGCCACTGGACGTTTCATGATAGTGCCATCCAATTCCTGAAGCAAAAACGCCCCTGACTTCAATCTCCCAAGTACCACATAAGGTCCAAACCACCTTAAGTGTCCCTTGGAGTCATGCTGAATCTTTAACCTCTCATTGGCCACTAAGACCATTTCTCTGCGCTTGTATTCTCCTTTAAACATCCTTGCTGAATGCTTTTGATTAAAAGCATCAGTGGCTTTCTTCCTGGACTTGTACAAGCTAATCGCTGCCTTTTCTAGGAATTCCTCCCGCTGCGACAACTGTCTAATCCTCATTGCCAACAATTCCTTTGTGGTGAACACTTTCAGCCAATCCAAAGCATGAAAGGTCAGATCTGTAACATTGAAGGGCATGAGCGGGTGTTGACCATAAAGTAAGAAGTAGGGTGTATAGCCCATATTCCTCTTAGTTGTCACTCTATCTGCCCACAACGCATATCCCACAAATTCGGGCCACCTATCAGTGTGGCCCTGTAATACTTTCCAAATACTTTCAATCCACACTCCATGTCCCTGTTCAACTTTTCCATTCACTCTGGGATTGTACGCAGTAGTTCTGACAATAGGAACCCGATATTTCTCCATTAACACTTGCATTGCTCCCTGAAACTCGCTTCCGTTGTCCACCATAAGCTGAAAAATACACCCAAATTGACACATAACTTCAAACAAGAAGTTTGCAATGGTCTCTGAGCGTATATTTTTCATAGCCTTGGCTTCAGTCCACCCTGTCAGATCATCCATGATGTCAATGAGGTATTTAAATCCTCCCTTTCCTTTCAGCATATTGACCGTGTCTGCATCAAACCTCCTCAATAAGGTTTTCATGTACTGCAGTTGAATCGGCACCACATTTCTTTGGGAAGACCTCATTTGACATTCATGACATGTCCAACAAAATTCGCTGACCAAATGATACATATTTGGCCACCAATATGTGTCTTTTATCTTCTGATACATAGGATCCCTCCCCCTATGTCCACTTCCGTTGTGGGCATCTCTGATTATTCTCGTCCTAATTTCTGGATTCAACACAACTGTCATATCCATACCAACTCTGCCTCACCTCCACTCCACTCCGCCACCGCTCCAGTCCACCTCCGGTCCATCCTCCCCTTGGACCTCTGCTATACCCTCCGGTTCACCTCTAGTTCACCTCCACCTCCAATCTCCGGTACCTTCTCCAGTACCTCTTATCCTCATCCTACACGTTTATTAATATTTCTATCTACCCAATATTACTACGGACCTCCTAGGACCTCTGCCCACTCCGCAAAGGTTTTCCCACTCTCTAGTAGCTGTCGCTAATTCCACCCTTCACCTACCCACTCCACAATGCTCGATAAGGCAATTCTCTCACAAGCTTGCTGACCCGGCAAGTGGGTAAGTCCCCCTTGGGTTTTCCCCTTTGTTCCTGTTTGTCTTCTATTATGTATATAAGTCCTGTACTGTAGTTGTTGGCACCTCAGTGCAAAATCGATGACTAGACTCCCCCCAGAGTTTGCGCCCTCTTGTTCTGAAGTTAAGGACCAGACTCCTAAAGCATTACCAAACGTAGGCACAGTGCTCCTCTCCGAGTTGCTGAGGCCGCAGTCCTTCCACCCGTCCTCTACCTCTGGCCTCCTTCTGGGGAAAGGTCCAGGAACACTGCCCTCCTTGCCATGTATCTGACAGCGGGCATGGGAATCTCAAGCGGCAACCCAGAATTCCTGCCTCACTCATTCCCACAGTGTCTAATAAATTGGTAAAAATGTTCATTGGCTGCATAATAGTTCTATTCAGCCACATTTCCAATTTCGGCTCTTAATCACGTAAATCCATTGAGAAATCGCTTATTTTCTTATATTTTCATATTTTTGTTCAGATATTGATCAATATTCTTTTATTACCCTGTCAGGGTTCAGCACCCTGCCTTAGGGTGCCCCGGACTCCCCACCTACTTTACCCCCTTTTATTCTTTGACTGTTGCCTTGTTGTTGCCTTTGTGTGTTGTGTACACGCGCGCACGGGATAGCGTGGGAACTTTCTGAGCGAGCAGCTCGCCCAGAATGTTCCCACGGGTCACAGCCACAGTTCTGGGCGAGCAACTCGCCCAGAATGTTCCCACGCTTACTGGGCACTGCCACCTGGATGTTCCCTCCGGGTCACACTACACAACTCTAGGAGCTGTATAGTTGTGGGCATGTGACCCATTCCTTTATATAGCAACCATGCGGGGAGATGAGACCTTTACCCTTCTTCTCATCTCATGCCCCGCATAGGCAAGTGTATATACTCCCTTTCTTTTACTATACATCTCATGCCCCGCATAGTGTGAGGACAGGCCAGATGGGGGTTGAGGTCAGGGAGCCTCCGAGTCCGAGGCCGGGCCCTGACATACCCTTTTTTTATTATTTCACCTAATAAGGTACTCAGATGCCATATGGCACCAATATCCACCATTAATTCTTTCTAAAAATAATTATTAGATATAATCCTGTACATACCGGATTTTTGAAAAGAAGTTCTCCCCTCCCCCAATTTCTCTAAGGCATGGACATGCTAGATTTGGAGTGAGTGTGTGGAATTCCAACAGTAGGAATAAGGGCAGTGGTCTAGCTCACAACAAGTGAGTAGTGGACACTGAGCCCGGACCTTGCGAGAACACCCCATGGAGTTCAAGGATTGAGTATACTGTCCCATTACGACCATTGGTTCAGTCACATGTCACATGCAAATTGTGAACTGAACTAAAGTAGGTTTTGTCACATGTCACAACGAGACTTTGAACAGATGAATGTATTGACAACTAATTCCCATGGGGTCCGGGAGTTGCCGGAAACTGCAAATCCATTCAGTTTTAATTCAGTTCAATATTTTCACGTGATGTATGGCACATGTCACACTGAGGGATGAACTATGCAGGAAGGAGCCGGCAATCCCCGAAACCCGTGGGAATGAACCTATGGTCGTAATGGGACAGTAGTCAAGTCAAGTCAAGAGAGGAGTTTGGCCCCCTGAGCTTAGTTGGCATAGAGAGCTGTGAGCCCTCTTTCAATGTTGACTGTGATGAAGCGACTATCAAAAGTCTTCTTGCCTCTGTTATTGGGATTTTCCCCATCAACAAGCTCATCAAGGAGGTTTCATCTTTGTTCATGCTTTCTTGCATTCACCCAGCTAGTATTTGCCTTTTGCCTTTCTCGCACTTTTTTTAGGGATTTCCTCCTTTGGCATGTAAAACTTTATCCTTGTATATTAAGAGATAGTACCCCTTGCACAGCATTTCCCGCTCCCACCCGATTAGTTGATTTTATTATCAGTAATAATTTTCCTGTTAGCTGAACAGACAGGCATTATCCCTCTGTCTTGTCTTTGTTTGCCTAGAAATTTATGACTTGACATGGAATTAGAGGATGTGGCATACAAGTAGGTTGCATATCTATGGTTATTCCAGTCTAGCTGGTCGTGAGAGTAATGATCAGGCATAGTGCAGTCGCCGACCCGTGAGAATCTGCAAGCCGACTTTGCTGATGTTCCTGATCTTCCCTTCACTGGCAGTATGGGGTCACTGTGGACTTGAATCCAATCCCCATCTACTGAGGATGATCTATTATGGGGAACTGCATGAAATTCTCGAACGACTTCAGAATGAATGACACCTCCTCACCCTCATTTCAGACAGTGGCGCTTGGATGCGGCATTATCGCCTACCTCATTTACTGCACTCTCCGACACTACACAAATTGTTGTGCTCACATCTGTATCATGAGTTTGTGGCCGGTTTCATTGTGGAATGAACTCAGGCCCTAATTGGGCTACTATAGACCGCGGTAGCAAGCCTGCGAGGCCAGCTTTCGGCATGGATGATGATGACTAACCCATTGTACATACGTGCAAAATTCAATGTGTTTCAAATACCATAGACAGAGTGGTATGTTACGAAGTTTAAAACTGGCCTTCAACCCCACTGTGCATATGCGGTAATTTACCACCTTCAAAGTACCACCAAAACGTTGGTAAATGATAAAAAACGGACCAAAAAATGGTTTTTTTACTACGCTTTACTTCCCACAGTGACTGATTATCCATTTGACAAGAGGGACGGTTTCAATATCCCCCACCTCTCCACCAGGGGATATCCTAGGGTTCGGATCAATTTTAGTGCAAGTTGAACGGCCCTGGTGATTTTTTTCCTTACTGATTTTTGGTTACTAGCGTCCATCAGGGCGCTTTGCTGAAGCCGGAGGGATTATTATTAATGGCTGAGCAATGCGCTTCGACAATGTGGTAACATAGTGGATGTCATGACCTGGCCTTTGATATCAGTCTCTTCTGCATGCTTGCGAAGCTGCCCTTTGAGCAGGTTGTGCCCTTCCGGTTCCTATATAAAGCCGTCCTTTGAGGGAACTAGTAACCGTTACAGAATCCCTCCAGGAAGAAACTTAACAGGATGTTCACGTTTCTGACCAAACTTCCCACCCTCGTACTCTTTTTGGCTGCGTTTGGGGTGTCTTTCTCGGCGGCTCTCCCGGCACGTAGCAAACCGCTCGAGCCTACTGTGGATGCATATGCCAGACGTTTGGAGCTGCTCAAGGGTCCGCTTGGCCCTAAGGGCTCAAGTGAGTCCCAAAAATACCAATTAATGTTCACGTCGTAGCTCACTATCAGACTAGGCGCCAAAAGAAGCGGCGGCGGCGGCGGAGGAGGCCAGGTGGAGTACGTGTCGTTGGTGATTTTACCATGCTTCCATCTCACGCCATTATTATCTAGTTGGCTTGAGGATATTCCCGAAGTTGGCCGTTCCAAATAGAGCCGGACAGTGTGTATTATATGCCGTCAATATTCTAGTAGGGCACTCATGGCAGCTTAGGTGATTCTGCCAGCATGACTGATCACGGTTGTGATTAATTTTAAGCGCGACATGGAGTGTCACCAGCACCTTTTCTTTACTTCTGCTTGACTGATAGAATTCTTTTGTCGGTTTGACGACACTTTGGTCCGGCCATATATGCGTACTTTTCTAGTTTTCGTCCACGAGTCTGGGGCAATATTCCCTTTTGATCCTTGTTAAGTACAACACATTGTGTTTCCGTCATGCAACGCACCTGTAATAGAAGCTTTCATCGATGGATCTGAGGATGAGTACGCACCCGTACAGCATTGCTTTACCAATTCACCTGTATTACAATGTAATCAATCATCACCGACGTCAAAAATGGGCCGCGCAAGCTCAATACTATGATCTGCAATTGCCCATCGCGGCGATGCTGTTCCAAAACGAAACGGACCACACACCGATGATACCGATGCTAACGCGATAATCTGTGTCGTCTCTGAGAGAGAAGTGAAGGAGACTGGAGTGAGTGCAGCATTGTCATGAGCTCCACAATCAGAAACAAGAGGGAGTACGTGCATGAGTCGTTGGCGCATCGATGCCCAGGAAATTCGAGGTCGGGGGTGTGCATACAAGTATCTCGTACAGTATGCCGTAGCAAATTTGCTTGATAAGCGGCATCTTCCGATGGACACCAGGATTTTAATCTACAGCAACCCCATACTAATGAATTTCAGTAAAACGTCTGATTAAAGAGCAATCAGGCAACTCACCCTAACAAAAGTTGCATCGCATTCCGTGCCCAAGAGGTGCACATTTTATCACCTCCACCCGCAATACGTGACTTCCCCCATCGTGGCATGACTTCCGGCAGCCATCTGATGATCTCACGAAACGGTTTAAGGTACACATTGGTGAAGTTACGTCGAAGTGGGGCATCAGGGACATTGTCCTTCTTACACGGGCTCCGGAGGATAGATGCGGGTAGTTTCAATGGATACAGTGGATAGTATGGTACGAGCACATACCTTCACTGAGGATTTCTTCCAGTGAAGCCGTGGCGGTGGTATGTGGAATGACATGATTAAAATCGTCAACCTCTCGCAAACCAAAGTAAGAGTGTCTGGGGAACGACACAATGGTCGAAAAAAGTCCTGCTCCAATAATCCTCCAGTGGGATTTTCCACGAAAATCCTGTTGCATCACATGGAATCAACTTTTCTCAGTGTGAGAAAGCAGCCAAAACATTTTCGCAACCCTCTATTCCGCCTACGTAAGCGGTCGCATGAGCAACCTTCGGTTGCCGACCCCCATCAGTGCTCATTCCTGGGCTCATTGATCTTGCAGATCTGCACGAACAGTCGGGCCAACCCGCGCCTCCGGCACTACCCATTGACCCCTGATCGGATCGGCACGAGTCATCGAACCCGACTTTTTTGATCAACTCCCTGATCCCGTAGATCCGGTAGATCCCTGGCTGGGAATCCATCTCTGGCCATCCTGCAAGTGGTCGTAAGCAGGTGACCAGCCTCTATTGCAATGATCGTTGTTTACATAAACAACAACAACAACAAAAATGAGCGCCAGGCTCAAGCTAATAACCGGCCAGTTCCCATTGGCAACACGAAGGAAATTTCCAACGACAGGGTAATGGCTCGACTGGATATTGGATTCTAGAGGATAGCGTGTAATCTCCATGCACAAGTGACTCAAATGAGTGAGCCGCCTGGAAGAACTCGGAAGGAAACTTTCAATCTGTAGGACGTGCGGCTCAAGGCTTGATACCCCTCCGAACCGAGTTACCGTTCAAAGTCCTTCAGAAGCTGCACGTCCTACTATTGTCATTATCGAAATGTACGGGCGCTAACACAGTGCATTATGGACTAAGTAGAGAGTTGATTTGAACGGAAATATAGGGACAAAAATATAACGCAACACAATCACGACTAGCGCAAGAACATAACAACAAAAATTACAGCGCTTGAGTACAGGAAAGGGATATTGCAGGTGAATCAAACGAACAATGTGGACAAGTGCGTCAATTGAAAGTGGGGGGCTTGTTGGAGAAAGCACCTTCGGATCCATAAGTGGGCGGAACGGGAGAATGAAGCGATCCGCACGCAAAATGTTGGGCATCTGTTGAAGATGCAATTTTAAATAGGAGTTTTGTCGGAAGTTGTTAAGTCGACATGCTAGATTCAACTGCTGCATCGACCATCCATGAGCATCTCCTTTAACCACTGAACCTTCTCCTCAGCCTTTTGGCATCGAGTTCTAAGCCCCATCGCGCTCACTCTGAAATTCGGCGACCTGAGTCTCGAGCAAGCGGACATATTCCAGTTTTCGCTGTCGACTCTGACGTGCCGCAACGGTATTCTGTCGTCGCTTGCACGCTTCGGGTGAATCAGCTACGGACACGAGTTCTCCATCCTCTGCAGTAATCAGATACTTTTGGTCGTCAGACTCTGCAGACCCCAATCCAACTTCGTCATCCAGGCTGTCATCGTACAATCGACTATCCTGGGGCAATTGGAGAGGAGACAAGGCGCTGCGGTGCAGACGTGGAGCGGAGTGGGTATCCGATGTGGGGCTGCCTCCTTTTGGTAGGGCCCAAGTGGAGGTATTGTATGGTGCAACGGATCCAGGAGGACGCTGATAATGGGTTGGAGCATCGACAGAAATCATATTATCGACACGAATGCCTCGGCGAATCCCAGTGGCGTGTTTCCACGACTTTCTAGGAGGTTCTATCGATACTTCCATCTCATGTAGTTCACGGGCTCTATATGAGTCGATCCGTGGGGAGAGGGACTTGGTGGGTGGGAGAAGAATGTAAGAGGGAGTCGGAGTGACGGCGGTTTATATGGGACTGGACTGAATCGAGTCATAACATTTAGGCCTTGGACTAGCAAGCCCATGGTTGGGCATACTGTGTGTAGTTCTTTTTATCCACTTCGGCAGGGAAAGGGAGGATGATTCTCACTCTATTGGTCTGGTCCAGAAAGGCTCTTTTGATGAAGACTTCCATATTGGTTTGGAAGTTACACGCGTTCTCTTCATTGTAGGCCGCATCTAGTGGCATGACTAGGATTTCTCCTTCTGTCTGCATCCATTCTTCGGCTCTGGCTGGGTTGGCTCCTTCCAGCAAGCGGGTGGGGCGGAGTCCGTGTGCGACGAATTTCTCGAGGTCGTGTCTGAGGGCAATCCAGTTATTTTTAAATGTAAGGCTATGGCGCGTAAGTGTCTCAGACTCGTGTTAGAGATCTATAAAATTATATGTACCTATGCCGTGTAAGTGTCTGCGCCAATTAGTATACAGTCAGATACTTTTGTAGAAATAATAACGTCAATCTCACCTCAGACTTGTGTTAGAGATCTGAGGGAGAGGGAGCCCAAAAAGCTCCCTTCTTATACGCGAACTACGCCAGTGGTGAGCCCGTCGCATAAAGAAAAATGGGGGTGTAAAGTTCAACCCCCAAACCTCACTTCCGCCATCAACAATCAATCCTGTCCTTGCCACTCCGTCGTCGGAACCGATTGTTGATATTCCAACAGTTATAGTCTTGGCCTTTCTGCTCTTGCTGTTTCATACATCACTAGGTCTTGTGTGTCATTTACATTTTCAGCACTGGTGACTGGGTGCCAAGGTGCCAAGGAATAAATTTCGTGACTGGTGAGGCCACATTCTCGCAGGTGCTCTGCCTCCAGCAGTTGGCAGTAGAAATCCTCTGCCTGTTCATCTGTATTAACAGATGCTCTACCATTGTCGGAAAAAACCGAAATCTGTGGCAATGCGTTGCAATGCAATGCAACTGCCAAAACAGGTAGGTGGCCACGCAACCGCGGTGTCAAACACTTGATGTTGCAATGGCTAGGTCCATGTTGCAACATGATACAATAGATTTGTAAAATAGGCCCAAAAGTGAGAACCTGTCAGGGTTCAGCACCCTGCCCTAGGGTGCCCCGGACTCCCCAACCACTCCCTTCCTCCCATTCCTTCATATTGGAAATGGCGAGTCACCGGAGATATCCGGGACATATGTGGAGGATAATGTGGAGGATGTGACTAAGCGCTTGTGTAAATGCCGCACATAGGAAGCGCCGGATTGCCGATGCATAGTATAAATATGGGTGCTTTAGCACCGTATGTTCTTTAGTTACAGTTTCTCTTCTCATTTCTATATTACATCTGGGTTGCGAGTGAACCACTGAAGCGGGTTGCCATATATGGAACTCCGGATTTACAACACTTCATTGTTGCCCTGTTGTTGCTTCTGAGTGTTGTGTATCCACACGCATGGGATAGCGTGGGAACTTTCTGAGTGAGCAGCTTGCCCAGAATGTTCCCACGCTTACTGGGCACTGCCACCTGGATGTTCCCTCTGGGTCACACTACACAACTCTAGGAGCTGTATAGTTGTGGGCATGTGACCCATTCCTTTATCTGGCAACCATGTGGGGAGATGAGACCTTTACCCTTCTTCTCATCTCATGCCCCACATAGGCAAGTGTACATATTCTCTTCCTTTTACTATACATCTCATGCCCCACCTAGTGTGAGGGCAGGTTAGATGGGGGTTGAGGTCAGGGAGCCTCCAAGTCTGAGGCTGGGCCCTGACAGAACCTCACCCAGGTTTCAAACAGACAACCTTCAGTGGAGGCCATTCCCATACTGGGGATATATTAATTATACAAAGAACTCTACTACAGTACTGCTTGACCAGCGAGCCCCTATATATACCTACCCTACCAGGGGTCTATATCAATAGTTATTGATATATGTTACATAGATGCCTGCAATAGAAACAATCACTCACTCTCCTGCTGTCACTCCAGTCTGGTTCAGCAAGCTGGACACAAGCTTCTCTTGTTAGAACAGGTGGGCTCGGATGGTTCCAGAATGGAATCAGAGACTTAGCAAGGAGGGACCTTGGCCTCATGTCAGGGCACACCCGCCTGACCCGGCCCCACCTAACCCGGTGCCCCACCACCCGCTCCTCCCGACCTCCCCCCTCTCCCCTTTTCTCCCTTCCCTTTCTTCTTCCCCTTCTTTTCTATTCTCTCTCCTCTTTATTCCTTTCTTATCACACGGACGACTTCCTTTGTACCAATGTACCATTGACCCGGCTGCAGTGTAACGCGCCCGAACCCGGACACACCGGACGACCCCCCGCATACCGGACGCTCCTAGGACCTCTTACGGAGGTACCCGGACGGAGGTGGCTGTGTGCTTGGATGATGTGGCGCTTCCCACGTGGCCTTCAACCACATGTATATAAACACAGCCTAAGTGGGAACTGAGAAGCAACCTTCTTCTCACATTTCCCACTTTAGGCAAGTAGCTTACACTTCCTCTGATAATAACAATAACACATTTCCCACTTTAGTCTCAGTGGCCAGGGACCCTTGCCTGCTTCGGGCCCGTTGTTACACGCGCCCGCGTCATACCTACCGGACCCTCAGCCTCGGGCGATACACCCGGGCGCTCTCGACCCCGGGTCGGTCCCTGACACCTCAGCGACTCAAGGGGAGCGCTGTGCCATTGCTGGTTGTCCTGTTGGTCCTTAATTTCAGACATGGCAAGGGTGAAGTCTCTAGGGGGAAATCAAGTCAATTACTGACTGAGGTACAACAAGTATGTACATAGTCTATATATAAAGGGGAGACAGGAGCAAAGGGGGTCCGAAATGGAACAAAGGTGTCCAAATGGAGACAAAGGGAATTGTGGATTGGGAACTGCACTGAGGGTCTGTCAGGGACACGTCCGGGGTCGAGGGGGCCCAGGTGTAACGCCCAGCACTGAGGCCGTTGTAGGCGGGATAATCGCCCACACACAGAGTCGGCTCGGATACCCATTTCCATGATTAAAAAACCACCTTTCATTCATGCGACAACTCGATACGAATTTGGTATCTAAAAATAGGGCTAATTCCTACGATCCCATCGATACCAAGAACGTCCCAAACGGTGGAGAATTGATGGAATTCTGCATTGGACAGGTTAGGCATGGCAGGTCACGAGTATGTGCGGGCATGGGAATCTCAAGTGGCAACCCAGAATTCCAGCCTCACTCGTTCCCACAGTGTCTAATAAATTGGTAAAAATGCTTATCGGCTGCATGAGAGTTATCTCCGGCTGCATTTTCAATTTTGGGTCTTAATTCCGTAAATCCGTTGAGAAATCGTTTATTTTCTTATATTTTCATATTTTGCCATCATTTCAGTTATTGATTGATTTTCTTTTATTGTTACTGTTACCCTTTTTTATTATTTCGCCTAATAAGGTACCCAGGTGCCATATGGCACCAATATTTGCCATCTACTATTTCTAAAAATAATTGTTTCTTATAATCCAGTACATACCGGATTTTTGAAAAGAAGTTCTCCCCTCCCCCAAAAATTCTCTAAGGTGCTAGGATGCGCTAGAGTGGGTGTGAGTGAGTGGAATTCCAACAGTAGGAATAAGGGCAGTGATCTAGCTCACAACGAGTGAGTAGTGGACACTGAGCCCGGACCTTGCGGAAATCCCAGAGAACCCACTGCGGAGTTAAGGATCGAGAGTCGAGTAAAGTCTAGAGAGAAAGTAGGAGTTTTGGAGAGTTTGGCCCCCACAAGCTTAGTCAGCATCAAGAGCCGCAAGCCCTCTTGCACCGTCGTGAGGTGTAGAGTGGGCGTGTGTAGTGATGGGCCCGCTCCGGGACGACAACCCCTGGCCACTCAGACTGAAGTGGGAATCGTGAGTTGTTATTAAAAAGGAAGCTATGCTACTTACCTGAAGTGGGAATCGTGAGAAGAAGGTTACTTCTTCGGTTCCCACCCCAGGTACTCTTATGTACATGTGGCTTGGGTCACATGAGGTTTGCCACATCACCCCGCATACAGCTGCAGTCATCCGGGTGTCCCCATGGGGGGTCCCGAGGGTGTGTGCTGCATGCACGCATGCTGGGTTGCACCGTGAGGCCGTCTGGGTCATCTGGGGCTGGGTGCATTGTGCACGCATCGTGGGTGGGTCGATAATACATAGATAAGGGGAAATGTCGTCCATGTAGATAAAGATAGAAGAAAGGGCAAGAGAGCAAAAGAACAGAAGGACAAAGGAAGAACAAGAAGTGAGAAACAATGGTGAAGGGTGAGGGGTGGAGGTGAGCAGGGTACCGGGTGAAGGCGGGTGGAGCCAGGTCAGGTGGGTGTGCCCTGACAGGGTCAAGGGTTAGACTCTATGGTGCATCCAAAGGGAGGTAGGGAGGGTGAAGGCCCAGAGGGGCAGGAGGATGAGGGGGAATGGGCTGGATGACTAACTGGCTAAATGGAAAGAAGCAGTAGTCCAAATAGGGGTGAGGGAGAAGTGTGAAGTATACTTTACAAACAGTGAAGTGTCAGGGACAGCTCTGAAAGTGGCGAGGTCCCGGCATGAGGGACTCGATGGGACAGGTGTTGGCTATGTGTAGTGGCAGTCCCATGATGGGGTGAGTGTCCCCAACCACTTAGTCTGAAGTGGGAAGTTGAGAAGAAGGCTGCTTCTTCTGTTCCCACCCCAGGCACTATTATATACTGTTAGAATGGGCGGATTCGGACGACTCTGGAGTGGAATCGGAGACTTAGCATGGAAGGACCTCGGCCTCAGCGACTCAGGCGGAGTGCTGTGCCATTGCTGGTTGTCCTAGGGGTCCCTAATTTCGGATCTAGCAGAGGGAAAGTCTCTTGGAGGAATTCATGTCGATTTCGGACTGAGGTTACAAGTTACTAGGTACATTGTATATAAGGAGGGGTCCGGAATCAAAAGGAACAAGGGTAAGACGAAAGGAGACAAAGGGAGATGGAAAGAGGAACAACACCGAGGGTCAAGTGTTTGACTCAATGGTGTTTCCCAAAGGAGGAATGAAGGGCCAAGGCCCAAGGAGGAAGGAAGGAGGATGGGAGTCGGGAATGGCTAGCTGACTGAATAGAAGGAAGCAGCAGCCCAAATAGGAATGAGGGAGAATAGTGGAATTGAATGGAGCAATGCAATAGTTGCAAGGTCCGATGTAA